AATGTTCCTTTTGTCCACTTAGCAGTATAGACTTCACTAAAACCACCCGTTCCAATCCGCTTTATGTCTACAAAGTCCTTGAATGGGATCCACTCTAATCTATATTGAAGCTTAAGTTTATGATTATGTGTTGCCTTAATTAAATTGTCAATATCTTGATTTCCGCTATTAAAATTCAGGAATTGTTGTGTATGATAACAATCAGTACATAACTTATTGTTCTCATATTTAAGTTTTCTTTTTCTATTACAGTTGCTGCATTTAGTTTGTTTGGAATTGCAACTAGTGCATAGTTTATTAAGTTTAAGTTTTCGATTTTTACCACAGTCTACGCATTTATCTTTATTGTGCTTCATGATTAAAATTTATTTTATGTGGTCTAATTATCGTATCCAGAAAGTGAAGAACCGCCACAATATTAATACTTAATATTTTACATGTAAAAGTTCTCTATAATTATGGCAAATGTTTTTATTTATAATTAGAATATGTTAATAACGGAGAGTGTAATAATCAAAATAATAATGGATGCACACGTACTACGTATAATATCAGGTAAAAATCAAGCTAATTAAAAATGAAATCGCAGTACAATAAAGGTTAATTTGAAGGTATTTATTCATTTTTAACGAATAGCTTCGAGTCTTTCTTCATGTCCATATCGAATGTGCCATTTTCCCAGTAGAAGTTTCTAATCGCCACATGTTTTTTGTTTGTATTACAATCTAAGTTCTAGAATTTCTATTATTGGTAGTGTTACTCTATATCGAACGTGTCATTTTCCCAGTAGGTTTCTAATCTTCACACGTTTTTGTTTTGTATTACAATCTAAGTTCTAAAAAATTTCTAGAACTGTAGTAATGGTAGTGTTACAAATCGAAAATCACCAAATGTTTTGATGATCTTGATCGAGAACTTCATGGGAACCTAAATGTATTAAAAGTGCCGAAAAAATTAGGCAGTACGTACTCATATAGCTTAATAAATAATAATGATAGAATGTGAATGTGATGTTATCTTAACTTAATAGCTATAATTAGTAAAGTGAGTTTTTTTTGCCGAAGATTCAATATAAATATACTATTTCATAAAATTTGTCGGCCAACTATGCTCACTAAAAATAATTGTATAATTGCGCAACCGGACAACAATCAGGTGATTGTTCAAGTGGTCGTATAAGTGTGAAATTTGATCAAATTTATGCAAACAGCGATAAAAATTAATGTGAATATGAATTTTGTGCATGAATCATTGACTTTGTGTATTTATTCATCAGCTCTATTGCTTTATTAATATCAACACTTTTATAACTTATTAAAATTATAGCGACAGCTTGTATAGATAGATTGATGGTGGAATTAATGACGGGACTAACGATGTTAAAAATATTTAATTGCCGCATTCAATAATTTATGAAGAATCAAAATTTTTAATATATTACGGTGTGTGACAGTCGAATTTTTAGCATCTTTAGTTCATCACTAGTGAAAAATACCCGGCTCTATATACGATGGTAAACAATATACTTCAATTATGTAACATTACGTTCTTCCGGATTGTAATTTAAGTTTATCGTTGTTGATATAGTGAGAGGCTATTATCGTTATACAATATCTCATATTAAATATGTTAAATTTGAGTTTTGAAGAATTATCATTTTGAGACATTATACGAGAAAACGTGTTAGTTACTAGATTTCTCAATATATCCAAGATTCTTGTCAAAGATTAAATTTATCTTATAAAATTGCAAGCAAATTACGTTTCAAAGTAATTTAGTCAGCAACTATTTTCATACATTAGGAGTTTCATATACTGCAAGTTAACCCTTAATATAGAAAATAAGAAATTCATTTCCTAATACTGTAATAGGGAAATATCGATGCAAGTCAATTATTATTTTTAGGGAAACAGGATAAATGATGTGCGTAACGGTAAATGCTGAAACATTTTTTGCATCTGTTCTATGTAGAGATGTGAACTGTGAATTACAGTACATATTACAGTTTTACAATATACTACAGCTTATTTATATTAACTAATAATAGTTTACGTTCGCACCTCTTTACTATAAAATGAGTGCTTCAAAAATTGAATTTCTCTTTAACAAAAATAAAACAAAAAATGTCTTTGCTGATCTTTGTAGCGGTTGCTATTATTCTGTACATAGTTTATAAATCTCTAAACACTAGGATCCCGGATGGTCTTAAAGATGTTCACACTATCTCTTCCTTTCATTTATTCAAATCGGCTATTAAAAAACGAGGTGGAACCAACAAGATGTATTCAGATTTTCAGGAATATTTTGAGAGAGATGGGGTCGTAAAGGTAAACTTTATTATATATATACTGTATAAAATTGCTTCTAATATTTTTGTTCTGATCAAGTTATTTATTTATTGTATTATAGCTTCTAATCAAAGGAAGATGGATTTGTTTGATAACAGATCCAGTAATCGTAAAAAATATGTTATTACGACCGGGTAAGTGATAATTCGATACCTCTATGTACTGTATTTATCGTTTTCTAATTTACTAATTTTTTTATAATAATTGATTCATTAGATACCTATCCGAAATTGGATCTTAAAGAATATTCACCTGTATTTTCACGACATCTCGGTGTCAATGTTGTTCACTCAAATGGTGATGTAAGTACAAATATATATGTGTGTGTGTTTATAAAATTTCTAAAATCTTTTTTAGTAACTAATTTTATTTATCTTTTTAGATTTGGAAGAGATATAGGCACGTAATAGATCTGTATTAACAAATTCGGATTATTTTTCTTGAAATTACTAATCACAGTGGCTTTATTTAGGCGTGTGTGTAATCCTGCATTCAAGACCTTACCCATACACCTTTTTGTTGAAACTGGAGTAAAGTTAATGAATATTTTAGAGCGTATTGATAATAAGCCTATTGAAGTTATGAATCTAATGCAAAGGTAATAAAGATTAATCAAATCATCTATTTTATACTATATGATTATTGTATTCATCAAAATATTTTAACAAAATTTTACAGGTTTACTTTAGACGCTCTTGGAAAAACTGCTTTCGGATTTGACTTTAATGTAAATGATTTTTTTATCATTATTGTATTTAATTTGTATTTAAGTATTTATTTTGATCATTCTAAATTTTACATAATTAGAATTTTGAAGATTCAAACAATATTTACGTAAAGACTTATAACGATGTTTACAATGGATTAATTCGTAATTCATTTGCTAATATTTTCCCATTGGAACGTATACCTTTTTGGTTAAATCGAGCTTTTAAAAAAATTGATAAATTGGATAATCTATTTGATGAAATTATTAAAAATAAACATAAATTTATTGCTGCTGGAAAATCTAATGGCGACCTTTTGGAACTTATGATAAAAGCTTGTGAAGATCCAAATAATCCAACTTTAACTAATGTTGAATTAAGAGTGTGTTGAATTTTAATTATTATTATTTTAATTAATTTATCATTACTATAAATATTAAATTTGGAAATAATTATGTAAATTATTATTTTTTTATTCTTAATAGTATAACCTGGCAATCTTTTTTTTTGCGGGTCATGAAACAAGTAATTATTATTCATCTTTAATGTTCAAAAACTTGTGAATATTTTATTATATTTACTTAAATTATAATTTTATTACGAATTTTTAGCTTCGGATGCTTTGTCAACTCTTTTGTATCTTTTAGCAATTCATAAAGTGAGATTTTGATTTATTTCTCTTATTTGAGATTAATTGAGATTTATTGCAAATATTTAAAGAGTTTTAATCTTTCATATCTATATAGGATGTTCAACAAAAAGCTAGAGAAGAAGTCATGAGAATTCTTGGTGATTCTTTAACTCCATCAGCAGAACAATTAAAATCATTAAAATATATAAATATGATCATTTATGAAAATCTTAGAATATATCCATCGGTGAGTGTCTACAATTACTATTATACATTTTACTTTATAAACATTTTTATAATCTTATTCATTATTGATGTTTGAAATAACCAATTAGGTCCCAATTTTTTCACATTACGTAAATTAAGTGAAGATTTAAAATGCAAAAATCATGTAATTCCAACTAGCTCAACAATTGGTATCTATTCTTACGGAATACACCATTCACCAACACTTTGGGAAAATCCTGAAAAATTTATACCAGAGAGATTTGAAAATAAAAATCCAGAGAATTTGGAATTTATGGTTTTGGTGATGGTTCTAGAATGTTAGTTATTGATACAGTTTTCTTTTTGTTTGAAATTATTTTATTCGAAAGATAAATTATTAATATAATTTTGTTTTTTAAAACAGGTGTTTGGGAAATAACTTTTCTCTTATTGAACAAAGAATTGTATTATGTTTGTTATGTAAGTATTTAATTGATAATTTTTATTAACATTAAATTTTATATTTTCCTTTGTTTGCTTATGAAAATTATATTATTTTTTTTTAGTATGTAAATATGAACTTTCATTGGCTCCTAATAGTATACATGAAGATGAATTAAAATTTGTGAGAATGACAAAAGCGCTTCCAATTGAACTTGTGTTTAAACGAAGAAATGAATAGCTCAATTTATTTTATTCAATAAATTAATGTTTTTTCTTTATGTGAATAATTTACTGTATTTAATAAATTTGATACATTTATCTCCAAAAAAATGTCATTAACTTTAAAATAATCATATATTCAATAAACTTTGAATTAAATATAAGTTCATGTATTCTCTCAAAAGAACCAATTAAATACATCTATTTCAAATTTAAATACTCTATATTTATCTGGCAGCTTACTATAATAATGCTTACCAAATAACTAATCCATAAATGTGTACCAGGTTGTTAAAACAATGATAAAATAAAAATAAGAAACAATTCAAATTTATAACTTTAGTTGCTAATAATAATATGTAGAAGAGCAAATTTTAATATACTGTAACAATATATAGTCACGAAACAACATTAATAAGTGTTATTAAGCTTAATTTGGGCAAAGTTTTAATTGCATTTATTTTACAACTATATAATACATAAAGTTTATTGTAAATTTTTTTTAAATTTATTATAGAGCTTTAGCATTTAAATTTTTACTTTAAAAATTTTTATTAAAAATTTTTTTTTAGGTATTTAAATTTTATATATTTCTAAATATAAAAAAGAAATATTTTAAATATAGGTTTAGCTTTTACAAGTAAATTATTAAAAATAGAATATTAAAAATTGTCATTCTTTATATGTATAAGTTATAATAATTTATTAAATATTATGAGGGTGAAATTAATATTTGAAGAGTTTCAAGAATTTATAAATAATTCTTTAGTTAAATTTTTTTTAAAAATTTTATATTTTTAATTTATAAGCAACTTAAATTTTTTTTTATAATATTATTAAATACTATTATAATATAATTTTTATTTTAAATAGTATTATAATATAATTTTTATTTTAAATACTATTAAACAAAATTTAATTTATAAAGTTCACAATTGAAGGGCTAACATTTTATAATAAAAATTAGCACAGTATTAATTACTAATTGTGTTGTATACAGTATTTCAATTTTAAAAGTTATATAGTAAAACCCTTTAAGAAATTTTATCTGAATATTACCATTATTTTTTATATTATTTTGTAAAAAAACTCCATGAATCTGCAACATGATCAACAAAATCTAGGCAATCTGAATGATCTCCAAGATTTAAAGGTATAAATTTTGTGAATATGCAATATTTACAAAAAACATGGAACAAAATACGGATCGACTTTTTTTATAGGGAAAAATTTCTGGAAATACTCTGTATCACAATGAATATTAAGTCAATTTTGATGATTTTACCACCATTAGACTTAGAAAAACAAGCTTATATTTTGTTAAAAATTAAAAAGTTTTCTTATTATTAATAATAAAAAACTTTTATATGTATATAAGAAAGTCCTATTTATACACTAAAAATTTATATTAAATTTCAATTTTATTTATTATAAGATTTACTATTTTTTTACTCTTCAAAAATGAATCATATCTTAAATTTAAAAAATAAATCAAAAGTAAATTTATAACAATTTATAGGCAAATTTGTTTAGAAATCTTTACAATTTAAAGAATAAAATTATAAAAGATTTTTTCTTATTAACTAAAATATCTAATATGTTTTAAAATTTTGACTATTAATATAAATTTTTTAAAAAATTTTTAATACAATAAGCTAAAATTTATTAATTACTAATTTTTATGTCATACAAAATTTGGCCACTTTTGCTACATGCACTATTTATCCCTTATATTATAATTAATAAATAAACGTCCTGGCATCCGATCATTGTTGCGGGTTGAAAAAAATTATCAACTAATTAAAAATTTTGCTTTTTATCTACTGAACTAAATGCCTAAGAACCTCTTAGTTAGCTCAGTCATATTGTCAACTCACTGTATTGCATGGGATTAGTTATTGCATTTATGTTTTTGACTATGAGAATTCCAGTGTAAATTATGGTTTCAAATTGAATAAAAAAAAAACTATAATTTACAAACATTTTTTTAAAGCATATTATGTTCTTGGTTTTAGCTTGGCTGTGTTATGCAGCTACTCTAATTGAATAAATTTTGCATTGATTATATTATATGAATCTTGGGATACATACTAATATTATTATTGTATGTTTTAAAACTATACACTTCCGAAATAAACAAATTATTCTCAAGTAAAACTTTAAAAAATAATCTAAAATTTCAAGACATATCTGTATGTGTATTCTATTCTGAACAAACGTATGTTGTATACTCAAGGATCATACAATCTATATTTAAAATTTCAATTATATTTATAAAAATTATTTTTTATCTAATACTATAATTAATTTTTTGATTGGCTAAATAATTTATCAGTTAACGAAGTTATATGAGTTGTGAAATAACCAACAATTAGTCTTTTGTCATTCGATGTTTTGAGTCATTTCAAGTTTCTGCCTTCTAGTAAATTAATGCCTTATTATGATCAATAAAAATCAATAAATATAAATTATTAATTAAGCAAATTTATAATAAACTTTAAATCATAACTAAAAATTCAGGTTTTTTGACACTTCTAATGTCTTTTGGGTTTTTAAGTGTATTTAATTAAATCTCATTAACCTTAGCAATTTTATTAGCCGTTCTATGTTGAATAAGATTTGGTTCACAATGCCTTTTATTTACTTCTGGACGACATAAATTTTACATAATCAATAAAAAATATCATCAAGCTTTTGTATATTTTAAAAACAAGTTGTAATGAAAATATAAAATCAACCTTTTTTATTTCTAGCTTGACATAGTTGCACTTTAATTTAATTGCTATATAATATCGAGATAAATAAACACTTTGACTACAGGGGACATTAATCTTTATACATTTTGTTTTACTATTCTTTACTATATTAAACTTTGACCAACAATAACTTGTAATATAGTGATCCAGTTTTGAGGATGTCAGTACCAATCATTCGAATCATCAAAATTGAATCACTTCATCACTAGTTATTGATGATCAAAGTTTAACTAGCAAACAATGCGTTTAGTGACCCATATGCCCTAATGGGAGATTTAAAATAAAAAATTTTCACTAACATGAAATTATTTTTCTTAAGAGTTAGTTAAAAATTGCTAAATATAAATGGTTTGAAAAATTAAAAAATTTTCAAGTTTTCGATATGGCAAATAATTTTCGTTAAGAATTATTATTAACAATAAGGTTAAAATTAAAAATGTCATTCGATTAATCGAAAAACAGAAACGTACTGTAAAAAATAGTTTATTATTTGCATTTTATCATAAAATACAAGTTTCTATAAAGCTCGAATATAAATTGGCCAATGTTTTTTTTGGCATTGTCTTGCTATAGAAAATAATTTTGAAATAATTCTACATCACTAACCAGATTACAAATTTATTACTGTATAATTTAAAAATTTTGTATGATTAACTTTACGCCTATGAGCACATAGGCAGACATTCGTATGATTGGCAGTTTAAATCAAATTAAATTTACATTATTTATGCAGTTTAAAATACTTTTTTAAAAAAAGAAAACTACTATGAATAAACAAATAAGAAGGATATAGAAAGTTTTATTAGGGTTGTAGGACTCCACTATTAAAAATATTCAAAATTCTTTTTCGTTTTAGAGAAGTTAGCATGGTGATAACCTAATTTTATCTATCTTTAAGAAGTCGCTATTATGCTAACTTCTCTAAA